CCACCTTCCCATGGGGACCCATGTGTCATATCTGATTTTTTTCTTTATTAGAAACAGCGTCACTGTATTGCCCAGGCTGGTCTCCAACTCCTGGGCTCAATAAAGCCTCCCAAAGTGCCGGGATTACAGGCATGAGCTACGGTGCCTGACTGCTGTCATATCTGATGCAGCTCTTAGCAATCACCTGCCCAGCCACCCTCTTGGCTTCTCTTTTCATACCTCAGTCCATTAGGGGGCTCAGGGATGTGTACAGCTGGCCCCAAGTCTTCCCAACAGATGCCCGGGAAGGCCTGAGGAGATCATTTGGACCTTTCCAAGTAGTTCACATGGAATCCTCCTGCTGTCTCCCTAATCCCTTTGGCTCCTGGACTTAATCCCACCCTGCCCCTTCCTCCTGAGCTTCTTAAGAGGACAAAGGGGAAGGGTAGAAAGGCAGCGAGAATGGCTGGGACTCTCCTGCTCTTGGGACAGTGTGATTACAAAAGGTTTTCTATGCCCTATCTGGTCTTCTGTCTCTGTACCTGTCCCTTCGGACACACTGTCGACCCCCACCCCAGGTCTCTGTGGACTTTTCTTTCTGCCATTGTCATCTCCCCCAGCATTTCAGGGTTTCAGAGGCCCATATTTCCCCTGTGTGTTGCGGAAGTCTCTTGGTTCCTCTGGGCCTTTCTGTTCGTCTCCCGTCTCTTCCCAGGCCCTAGACCCCCTTTGCTATGGACAGTAGAAGAATGAGGGGAGTGGGAGGGAACAGGTGCCCAGGGTCCTGGGTTTTGCATAGGACAGCAAGGGGCTGTGGATATGAAAACCTTACTTTTGGCTGAGAGTCACTCCCCAGCCAGTTGCTTCCCCGCTGGCCAGCCTGCTGGCTTCTCTGGGAAATCTCCTCCATTGTCCCCAAGGTGCCCAAAGACTCGGTTCTGATGATAAGACTCGTCTCCATGTATTTTAATTTCTTTTTACCCCTCTGCCTCCTACAGTCGAAAAAGCAAGGACCTTGGTCCTATATTATTCACTTCTGCCTCCCAAGCCCCTGCCAATGTACAGGGCAAAGTCTGATGTTTTGAAATGGTATGATCGAAGAGGGAAACTCTAGGATTGGAGAGCCAGTATGGAAAGGAAAACTGGATCCCAGAGTGGATGGGGACAGTGAGTGGGGTGCCTAAGTCCAGCACCCACCCCACGTTCTGCCCATCCCACCTGCCCCCTTGCAGACTTCCCCCTAACCGCTGATTCCCCTGCAACCCCCCACAGGCTTCTCCCTCACTGACCTTGCCTCCTGCCCCCTTTTTTCCCCTCCTTCAGCTTAAGATCTCCTTCAGCGAGACAGCCCTGGAGACCACGTACCAATACCCCTCCGAGAGTTCGGTACTGGAGGAGCTAGGCCCGGAGCCTGAGGTCCCCAGTTCCCCCAACCCCCCAGAAGCCCAACCCGACGACGAAGAGGATGAGGAAGAGCTGCTGCTGCTGCAGCCAGAGCTCCAGGGAGGGCTGCGCACCAAGGCCCTGATTGTGGGTAAGCAGAGGCTCCGCCGGCCCGAGGGCGCCCCCTGCTGTCAGAGTGGGCGCTGCGGTCCAGGAGGGAAGAGAAGGGAGGATTTCATGTAGGCGCTTGGCAGGGGCTTGGCAGGTCCTCTGGTCCAACCTGCTCCTTTAACAGATGAGCAAACTGAGGTCCCGGGAAATGAAATACACACTAAGTCTTCAGATTTCAAAACCAGAACACTTCCCGAGTCCTGTAATCTGGTTAAAACCACAGGGTGGGTGGACAGGCCTGAGTTGGAATTCCATCTTGTCTCCTAATTGTGTAATCTCAGAGAAACCGTCTGATCTCTGGCTTTAGCGTATTATTTATGAAATGAAGTTAATAATAACTACCTCCTGTGGCTCATGCCTGTAATCCCAGCACTTCAGGAGGCCAAGATGGATGGATCGCTTGAGCCTAGGAGTTCAAGATCAACCTAGGCAACATGGCAAAATCCTGTCTCTACAAAAAAATACAAAAATTAGCCAGGTGTGGTGGTGCGCAGTTGTTTTTCCAGCTACTCGGGAGGCTGAGGTGGGAGGATCGCTTGACTTCAAGAGTTGGAGGCTGCAGTGAGCTGACTGCAGTGTACCACCACTGCACTCCAACCTGGGCAACAGGGGAAGACTCTGTCTCAAAAGAAATAAACAGGTCTGGCACGGTGGCTCACACCTGTAATCCCAGCACTTTGGGAGGCTAAGGCAGGTGGATCACTCAAGGCAGAAGTTCAAGACCAGCCTGGACAACATGGTGAAAGCCCGTCTCTACTAAAAATACAAAAATTGGCCAAGCATGGTGGCTCATGCTTGTAATCCTGGCACTTTGGGATGCCAAGGCGGGCAGATCACCTGAGGTCAGGAGTTCAACACCAGCCTGGCCAACATGGTGAAACCCCGTCTCAAAAAAATAAAACAAAATAAAATAAAATAAATAGGCTGGGTGTGGTGGCTCATGCCTGTAATCTCAGCACTTTGGGAGGCTGAGGAGGGTGGATCACCTGAGGTTAGGAGTTCAAGACCAGCCTGGACAACATGGTAAAACTCTGTCTTTAAAAAATAAGGCCAGGCGTGGTGGCTCACGCCCATAATCCAAGCACTTTGGAGGCCAACGCAGGCAGATCACCTGAGGTCAGGAGTTCAAAACCAGCCTGACCAACATGGTGAAATCCTGTCTTTATAAGAAAATAATAATAATAAATTAATTAATTAATTAAATAAAAATACAAAACTTAGCCAGGCATGGAGGTGGACACCTGTAATCCCTGTTACTTGGGAGGCCAAGGCAGGAGAATCGTTTGAACCTGGAAAGCAGAGGTTGCACTGAGCTGAGATGCTGCCAGTACACTCCAGCCTGGGCAACAGAGCGAGACTCCATCACAAGAAAACAAAAAACAAAAGCTACTTCCTGGAGTTGTTGAAAAGAAAGTTATTTATCTATTTATTTATTTGAGACAGACTCTTCCTCTGCCATCCAGATTGGAGTCCAGTGACACAATCTCGACTCACTGCAACCTCTGCCTCCCCAGTTCAAGTGATTCTCATTCCTCAGCCTCTAGAGTAGCTGGGATTACAGACATGTACCATCACATCTGGCTAATTATTGTATTTGTAGCAGAGATGGGATTTTACCATGTTGGCCAGGCTGGTCTTGTACTCCTGACCTCAAGTGATCCTCCCTCTTCAGCCTCCCAAAGTGCTTGGATTAGATTAAGCAATTTTTTCGAAGCACCAAGAGCCACAGCTGGATATCAAATTACTTAATCTTTCCTGGAGTTATGGTGAGATTAAACAGTTGGAAGGATGCCTGGCACAGAGTTCAAGCTATATGAGAGATGGATGAGGTTACTGGTGGTAAGGTGCTTTAGATATGGAAGATATTGTAAGACTTCCTGCATGCCAAATGCCCTTCAATTTGTGTGTGAGGGAAGGGAGGGCAGGAAGTAGAGGCCCTCGCTCATTCTCTGTCATTATTGCCTCCTTTCCCGTAGATGAGTCCTGCCGGCGGTGACCATCTTCCAATATAGGGATATATGTCCCTCCTTCCTGTAACTGAAGATCCTGGAGCCTGGAAGATTCAGGGCAGACAGACCCTAATAATGAGCCTGGCAGGGAAGGGCAACCACCATCTTCTAACTTGCTTTCCACAGTATGTTTCTGGGGGCAGAGCCAATTGCCCAATTTCTACCCTAATCCAAAGTCCCTAGTGTGGGTGGGGTTAAATGTGCTGGTGCATCCTAGGTGATCCGAGAGTGAGCACCGAGTCCTGAGAAGGAGCACAGAACTCCCGGAGGGTGGAGATGGAGCACTCGCCCCCCATGGCAGGGTACGCTCTTCCCATAGCCTTCCTCCCCGCCATCCCGTGGGGGATCTCAGGATTTAAGCACTCATTTCTCTGGGAAGCCCAGACCCCATTCCATTTATAGGCACATCTCCTTTATTTCCTAGGTCACTGCCCCTTTGTTTACAGCTCCTGCCTCCTCTCTTGACCACAGCCTGGTTTACAAATTCCACCAGCTCCCAGTTCCACCTGCCAAAGTACCAGGTTTACAAGCCACGCTTACTTGCTGTGTCTGCGTGGAATTCTCTCCTCTGTCCCCCCCAGTCTCCTCATTGGAGTGACCTGAAGGTGCGGCTTCCACTTTTTCTCAGTATTACTTTGCCTCAGTTTTCCCCAAGAGGGAAGGCTGGAAATCTTAACTTTGTACCCCTTGATAGTTATTTAATTCTGTTCCTCCTAGTGGTTCACAATTGAACTGAATTGAGGTGGTGTGGGGTGGCGAAGGAGACACCTCACATCTCCTCTCCCATTGTGCCGCCTTTATCAATTGCCTGTTTTGTTTTGTTTGTTTTTTAACTTTCCATAATAAAATGGAGTTTTCTCCAACTCTTCTGCTTCTCCTTATTTATTTATTCAGGATGGAGTTTTGCTCTTGTTGCCCAGGCTGGAGTGCAATGGCGCAATCTCAGCTTACCGCAACCTCTGCCTCCCAGGTTCGAGCGATTCTCCTGGCTTAGCCTCCCAAGTAGCTGGGATTACAGGCATGTGCCACCATACCCGGTTAATTTTTTGCCTTTTTAGTAGAGACGGGGGTTCACCATGTTGGCCAGGCTGGTCTCAAACTCATGGCTTCATGATCCTCTGCCTCAGCCTCCCAAAGTGCTGTGATTACAGGCATGAGCCACTGCAGCACCCAGCTTCCTTCTCCCTTAGAAAAAAAAAGGTGGAAAAAAGGTAGGGGGAGGTGGGCGCAGTGGCTCATGCCTGTAATCCCAGCACTTTGGGAGGCTGAAGCAGGTGAATCACCTGAGATCAGGAGTTCGAGACCAGCCTGGCCAACGTGGTGAAACCCCATCTCTACTAAAAGTACAAAAATTAGCTGGGTGTATTGGTGGGTGCCTGTAATCCCAGCTACTTGGGAGGCTGAGGCAGGAGAATCACTTGAACCTGGGAGGCAGAGGTTGTAGTGAGCCAAGACTGCCACTGCACTCCAGCCTGGACAACAAGAGCAAGATTCCGTCTCAAAAAAAAAGCTTAAAAAAAGAAAAATAATAAGGTATGTGAGGGGAGGCTCTGGTGGCTGGCAGAGAGGAAAATGATGGGGAATGAACCAGGAACTCAGCACGGACATGTAAAAAGGGGTCTAGGAAACTGTGCATGGGTTTCACCCAGGACAAGCAGGCTACATAAGAAAGGGCAGTTAGGCCGGGCGCGGTGGCTCAAGCCTGTAATCCCAGCACTTTGGGAGGCCGAGGCGGGTGTATCACGAGGTCAACAGATCGAGACCATCCTGGTCAACATGGTGAAACCCCATCTCTACCAAAAATACAAAAAATTAGCTGGGCATGGTGGTGCGTGCCTGTAATCCCAGCTACTCAGGAGGCTGAGGCAGGAGAATTGCCTGAATCCAGGAGGCAGAGGTTGCGGTGAGCCGAGATAGCGCCATTGCACTCCAGCCTGGGTAACATGAGTGAAACTCCGTCTCAGAAAAAAAAAAAAAAAAAAGAAAGGGCAGTTGAAGTGTCCGATAAACTGGAAGTGCCATGAGGGCTGACTACATCAGCTGGATTCACCGCAATATCCCACACCTATCAACTAGTAGACACAAAATTATTTCTAGAATGAATGACAATGAATGAATAGATGAAAAAGGTTGAAATTCTAGAAGCAGAGGACACTGAGTTAAAGGGTTCTAGTTTTCAAAAGCCTGCTGCCATGCAGGCAGCTAGGTAGTGAGTATGAAACACACAAACCATGTGGCTAATTCAGGGATATTTACTCCAAGAGTTGGGGCCATAACTAGTAAATCTGAAATTGCTGCATAATGAAGTAAGTATGTACAGGAGTGCGGTTTCCTGGAAAAGGTTCTCCTCTGATACGCCGGGCGCGGTGGCTCAAGCCTGTAATCCCAGCACTTTGGGAGGCCGAGGCAGGTGGATCAGGAGGTCAACAGATCGAGACCATCCTGGTCAACATGGTGAAACCCCGTCTCTACTAAAACTACAAAAAATGAGCTGGGCATGGTGGCGCGTGCCTGTAATCCCAGCTACTGAGGAGGTTGAGGCAGGAGAATTGCCTGAACCCAGGAGGCGGAGGTTGCGGTGAGCCGAGATCACACCATTGCACTCCAGCCTGGGTAACAAGAGCGAAACTCTGTCTCAAAAAAAAAAAAAGGTTCTCCTCTGATAAGAACATGGATTTTTATATCCTTAAAGGTTTACAAACCATCTTGATAATTAATGACTTTCCTGCCCATATAGTTGATATTCGAGATTTTCCCATTTCAAAGAATATCTTATATAAATGTGTAACATCAATATTTTACTCACCAGGTATTTTTGTTTGTTTGTTGTTAGCTCTCCAGGCTAATAAAGACAAGGTTGAGTATTTACAGTCCTTCCACCACTACAAGTTGCTACTCTCAGACTGGTCAGAGGAGACCCCACCCTTTTACAAAAAAAAACAAATGTATCGGGTGTGGTGGCTCACACCTATAATTCCAGCACTTTGGGAGGCTGAGGCAGGTGGATCACTCAGGAGATCAAGACCATCCTGGCTAACACAGTGAAACCCTGTCTCTACTAAAAATACAAAAAAATTAGCCGGGCATGTGGCAGGCGCCTGTGCTCCCATCTACTTGAGGGGCTAAGACAAGAGACTCCCTTGAACCCAGGAGGTAGAGGTTGCAGTGAGCAGAGATCTCGCCACTGCACTCTAATTTGGACAACAGAGCGAGATTCTGTCTCAAAAAAAAAAAAGAAAAGAAAAGAAAAAAGCTGAACTTGTCATTGATGCTCTGCTGTCTGATTTGTTTGATTCTGCCTCATACCTTTAACATTAATTGGAGTTACCAGAAGCTACTGTTAGGAAATGAAACATTGTTCTGTGTGTGTGTGTGTGTATGTGTGTGTCTGTCTCTCAGTTTTGCTCTTGTTGACCAGGCTGGAGTACAGTGGTGCGATCTCAGCTCACTGCAACCTCCCACCTTCCAGGTTCAAGCAATTCTCCTGCCTCAGCCTCCCAGGTAGCTGGGGTTATAGGCATCTAGCTAGTTTTTTTAATTTTTTTTTTTATAATTTTTTTTTTAGTAGAGACAGGATTTCACCATGTTGGCCAGGCTGGTATTGAACTCCTGACCTCAGGTAATCTGCCTATCTCGGCCTCCCAAAGTGCTGGGATTACAGGCGTGAGCCACCACGCCCGGCCCTTGAAACATTGCTCTTATTAACAGTCACAGGTGGATCTACATCATTGACTTCTTGAATGTGTTGTTTTGTTTCTGAGATGGACTGTGGGCACCCCTGGCATCTCAGAGCTTCCTAACTCTGTTTTCTTGAGTCACAACTGGAAACGTATTAGGACCTTTACCTAATAGCCTACTAATATAATCATTCTGTTTCCCTCCCTACCCAGATCTTCTCTGAAATGGCTGAATCTTTTGACACCTAGCTTGTTCTCTTGCTAATAAATTGAAGACTTTTGGCGTATGGTTAAGATCAATTGATGGTGACTGGGCGAGGTGGCTCACACCTGTAATCCCAACACTTTGGGAGGCTGAGGCAGGTGGATCACAAGGTCAGGAGATGGAGACCATCCTGGCCAACATGGTGAAACCCTATCTCTATTAAAAATACACACACAAAAAATAGCCAGGCATGGTGGTATGCGCCTGTACTACTCAGGAGGCTGAGGGAGGGGAATAACTTGAACCCTGGAGGTGGAAGTTGCAGTGAGCTGAGATTGCACCACTGCACTTCAGCCTGGGTGACAGAGTGAGACTCCATCAAAAAAAAAAAAAAGATGAATTTGTCTGATACTTTTTTTTTTTTTGATGGAGTCTTACTCTGTCACCCAGGCTGGAGTACAGTGGCTGACTGCAACCTCTGCCTCCTGGGTTCAAGCAATTCTCCTGCCTCAGCCTCCTGAGTAGCTGAAATTACAGGTGCCTGCCACCAGGCCCGGCTTTTTGTATTTTTAGTAGATATGGGGTTTCTCCATGTTGGTCAGGCTGGTCTCAAATTCCTGACCTCATGATCTGCCTGTCTTGGCCTTCCAAAGTGCTGGGATTACAGGTATAAGCCACGGCGCCAGGCGTGTGTGTGTGTGTGTGTGTGTGTGTGATGGAGTTTTGCTCTTGTTGCCCAAGCTGGAGTGCCATGGCACGATCTCAGCTCACCCACTGCCACCTCCACTTCCCCATTTCAAGTGATTCTCCTGCCTCAGCCTCCTGAGTAGCTGGGATTACAGGTATGCGCCACCATGCCCAGCTAATTTTTATATTTTTAGGAGAGACTGGGTTTCACCATGTTGGCCAAGATGGCCTTGATTTCCTGACCTCGTGATCTGCCCACCTCGGCCTCTCAAAGTGCTGGAATTACAGGTGTGAGCCACGGCGCCAGGCATATGTTTACACTTTTTTTTTGGTCTTTTTTTCCGTCCTTTTTGTAGAGAACAGCGTCTTGCTATATTGCCCAGGCAGATCTCAAACGCCTGGGCTCAAGTTATCCTCCCACCTCTGCCGCCCTAAGCTGGGATTACAGGTGTGAGCCACTGCGCCTGGCCAGGCATTTTTTTTTTCTTTCACTTTATTTCATATTCCCACCACAATAATGACTCCTTTAATTTAAACAAAAAACCATACAGGGTTCCTGAAACGGTGGTAAAAAGGAAAGGAAGTGTCAAAGACTGCAGGACAGGTGGGGTGGGGAATCAGCGAATCGTCTTGACTGGGCTCTTGAAGTTGCTGGTGGCTTGGAGTGGCAGCTGGTAGGCCATCAGTTGGATCTCGAAACAGTAGTGCCTGGGCACAAACTGGTTGGCAGGTCGTTTGGGCCGGTACTCGGGATGCACCATGAAGAGCATGTGAGGGAAACCAGTGCCGAAATAGGCGCCATCCGTGTGATGGTGCTGCGATGACTTGGGTGTGTATACACCCATGCACTTGGGGCAGTAGAGCTTCACCATGGCTTCACCTGGGATGTCTTAAAGGCCAATGGGAAGCATTGGCTGGTTCTCACAGTATACATGGGGACAGTAGCCAAAGTCTCCCTGCTGGTACTTTTCCAACAGCTGAGTGATGCCACGGTTGGGAAGGATGTAGCAGGCGTGGATCAATCCATAAAGCATCTCGGCTGCCTGCTCCATCAAGTCACTCTGGTTGGGGTTGTCTTCCAGTTCTTCACCAGGCTCCAGGTCCAAGATCACATCTAGAGCTTGTCGATAGTGAGGGACCTGCTCATTATGAGTCCAGTAAGATTCAGTTTGTCTGGATATAGTCTTCATCCACTTCACAGAAGAATTCATTGCCATGGAGCCCACAAAACCAGGAAATCCAGGACACCTCCTCTGAGCTGCTCATCTTCACATCAGCTGAGGTGGCGCCAGCCATTCTGCTAGTCCCCTTGCACTTCTCCATTTTCTGTTAAGCTCTAAGTGTGACCTTAGAACCCTGGTCAGAGTAATGATGAGGGGCAGGCGTGACGTTATTTCATTTCACAGCTTCTCGGCATTCCACAGGTTTCCCTCTGCCTCCTGAGGGCCTTTCCTAACCCTGAGAGTGGATTCTCAGCTCCAGAAAATGGGCTTGGAGCGGGAGCCACATTGAGGAAGGAGAAGGGCATTGTGGAGGCATTAGGTAAAAGTAGGACCCCAACCGACAGATCCTGGTGCTCGCGCCACCTGGGCCCAGGCATTTTTTTTTTTTAAGGCATAGTCTCGGTCTGTTGGAGTGCAGAGGACTGATCTAGACTCACTGCAACCTCTGGCTCCCGGGCTCAAGTGATTCTCTTGTCCCAGCCTTCAGAGTAGCTGGGATTACAGGTGCACACCTCCACACCTGACTAATTTTTTGTATTTTTTGTAGAGATTGGGGGGTCTTACCATGTTGCCCAAGCTGGTCTCAAAACGCTGAGCTCAAGAGATCCTCCTGCCTCAGGCTCCCAACGTGCTGGGATTATAGGAAGAGCCACTGCACCTGGCTTTGCTTATTTATTTTCAGTTTTTTTTGCGACGAGGTTTTGCTCTGTCACCCAGGCCTCCTGGGTTCAAGCAATTCTCCTGCTTCAGCCTCCCGAGTAGCTGGGATTATAGGCACCTGTCACCTCATCCGACTAATTTTTGTATTTTTAGTAGAGATGGAGTTTCGCCATGTTGGCCAGGCTGGTCTCAAACTCCTGACCTCGTGATCTGCCAGCCTTGGCCTCCCACAGTGCTGGGATTACATGCATGAGTCACCGCAACTGGCCGGCCTTGCTTATTTTTAAATAAGCAGCCACCGGTGATTTTCTCAAGCTGTTGGCAAAAATGCAGAACACAGTTTGCCCATTCCCTAGTTTGGAGATTTTGTCTTTAACAACTTTCCCAGTTTCCCAGTTTCTTCCTGTTCAGAGGTCTTCCCTTATGCCTGACCTGTCTTCACTCCTGCTGCAGGCAAACCAGTCCTAAGTCCTAGCAAAAGTCACTTTTTTTTTTTTTTTTTGAAATGGAGTCTCACTCTGTTGACCAGGCTGGAGTGCAGTGGCAGGATCTTAGCTCACTGCAACTTCTGCCTCCTGGGTTCAAGCGATTCTCCTGCCTCAACCTCCTGAGTAGCTGGGATTACAGGCGCCCACCACCACACCCGGCTAATTTTTAGTATTTTTAGTAGAGACGGAGTTTCATCATGTTGGATCAGGCTGGTCTTGAACTCCTGACCTCAGGTGATCCTCTCGCCTCGGACTCCCAAAGTGCTGAGATTACAGACATGAGTTAGAGATTACACCTTGCTCAGCCAGGTAATTTTTGTATTTTCAGTAGGGACAGGGTTTTGTCATCTTGGCCAGGCTGGCCTTGAATTCCTCACTTCAGGTGATCCTCTCGCCTCGGCCTCCCAAAGTTCTGGGATTACAGAACTTTGAGCGTGAGCCACGGCGCCCGGCCAACACTGCTAATATATTTTATGAACATGGACCCGATCTAAAAATTTGAATTAGAATCTCGGTTCCCCCCCTTACTTTGAATAGTTTTTGGCTCTATAAAACTTCCATACTTTATTTATTTATTATATATCCTGTCTCTCCCCCACTGCAAAATGTAAATTCGGTATGGAATTTTTGGTTTGTTCTTTGTTGTATCCCCAGCGACGGAAAACCAATGAGCACACATTAGCAGCCCATTAAATTAATTTCACTTCTTGAAGGAATGCCTGAGCGGCGCACTCACGGACTGACCATCAGGGGGCGTCAGAGAAACCGAATAGAAGCGGAAATGAAGAAAAAAGAATTACCCCGCAACCTTAGGTACGGTTCCGCGAGGTTTGAACTCGCTCGGCCACCGTAGTGCTTAGACGCCGAAAAAGTGCAGCCCCTTCCGGTCTCCGCTGTAAGGGAAGATGGGTTTGGGATGTCGGAAACTGGTCCTCGGCGTCCGACGTTAGCTGCCTTGCGAAGCTGAGGCTCCAGTCGAGGGCCCCAGATCTCCGACCGGCCTAGCCGTCAGCGAGCCTGCCGGAGGCTTCAGGGCCGAGAGCAGGGAGCGTGGGTCACCATGGCGACGCCGGCGGGGCTGGAGCGTTGGGTTCAGGACGAGCTGCACTCGGTGCTGGGGCTGAGTGAGCGGCACGTCGCCCAGTTCCTGATCGGTACCGCGCAGCGCTGCACCTCGGCTGAGGAGTTCCTGCAGCGCCTGCGAGACACTGATACCTTGGACCTCAGTGGTCCGGCCCGGGACTTCGCCCTGAGACTCTGGAACAAGGTGCCGTCATGGGTGGGGAGTGGAGCAGGGGAGGGGCCCTGTGATTTGTTCTGGTGAGGATGGCCTAACGGTCCATCGAGAAGTTAAGTAAGCTCAGTTCACAAGCATTTATTCCTTTTCTGAGAAGTTAAGTAAGCTCAGTTCACAAGCATGTATTCCTTTTCTGAGAGGTTAAGTAAGCTGAGTTCACAAGCATTTATTCCCTTCCGTTGAGCTGCTGGACGCC